CACACACACACACACACACACACACACACACACACACACACACAATGGAGTATTACTTGGCAATCAAAAAGAATGAAATCTTGCCATTTGCAACTACGTAGATGGAACTAGAGGGTATTATGCTAAGTGAAATTAGTCAGAGAAAGACAAAAATCATATGACTTCACTCATCTGAGGACTTCAAGATACATAACAGATGAACATTAGGGAAGGGAAGCAAAAATAATATAAAAACAGGGAGGGGGACAAAACATAAGAGACTCTTAAATATGGAGAAAAAACACAGGGTTGCTGGAGGGGTTGTGGGAGGGGGATGGGCTAAATGGGTAAGGGGCATTAAGGAATCTACTCCTGGAATCATTGTTGTACTATATGCTGAAAAACTTGGATGTAAATTAAAATATAATTTAAAAAAAATGTTATTCATTATCAGCAGTGCCTGGGTGGCTCAGTCAGTCACCTGACTCTTGATTTCAGCTCAGGTCACGATCTCACAATTCGTGAGTTTGAGCCCCACATCAGACTGTGTACTGACAGTGTGGAGTCTGCTTGGGATTCTCTCTCTCCCTTTCTCTCACTGCCCCTCCCCCACTCACATTCTCTCTCTCTCTCTCTCTCTCTCTCTCTCTCTCTCTCAAAATGAATAAATAAACAAAAAAAATGGGTGATGGGCAATAAGGAGGGCACTTGTTGGGATGAGCACTGGGTGTTGCACATAAGTGATGAATGACGGGAATCTACTCCTGAGGCCAAGACTACACTGTATGTTAGCCAACTTGACAATAAATAAATTAAAAAAATAAAAAAATAAAAAGTTATTATCAAATTAAATTCTCTTTAGCCCTGTAAGGCAACTGTAAGGACATCTTTCTGTTCCTTAGAATATGTTTCTTTCTAGATTGAGTTTAGAAAACCTTCTGTGTGCTTTGTTTTCTTTTATGTTTGCATTTTTACCATGTTATTTCTTTTTTTTAATCTTGTTAATGCTATTGGATGAGATATAGTACAGTCACTTTTATTTTACGTCCTTCACCAACACATTTTATACCAGAACTGTACTATGGGAAAGGGAAGGGTTAGGTAGAGTATATAAAGATTCATTCTTAACTTCCTTTTATCTACAGTTACCTAAAACTGTATGAGAATATAAAGGTAAACAAGAAATTTCTTCTCCATCTTTGTGAGAGCATGAATTTGGGTGAAATTAAACCTTGCAGAACTCATTAAAGGAAATTTCTTTTAAGATGGAGCCAGGGATGTGAGGGCGATCTGGCTGCGACATCTGTCACCCCATTGATCGCCAGGGTTGATTCGGCTAATCTGGCTGGCTAGGCGGGTGTCCCCTTCCTCCCTCACCGCTCCATGTGCGTCCCTCCCGAAGCTGTGCGCTCGGTCGAAGAGGACGACCTTCCCCGATAGAGGAGGACCGTTCTTCGGTCAAGGGTATACGAGTAGCTGCGCTCCCCTGCTAGAACCTCCAAACAAGCTCTCAAGATGGAGCCAGGAGGCCAGAAAGGGTAGCTCTCAGACCCCACCACTCATTGCAACCCTTTGCAGATCCAATAGGACCAGACTACTTTGCATTCCCAATAGGAAGAAACCTACTTCACTATCCCAGTAGGAGAAAGGAGGGTTTTCCCTTTGCCCAGCAACAGCCCAGCCAGTGACAAACTTTCACAACTCAGCCAATGAGAAGCCACTATACTTCAAAGTCCCAGTTTACTGCAATGGACTTGTTGTTTATAACAGCTCCCCCCAACTCCCCCCTATCCTCTATAGAAGAGTGGTCCTTTCCTATGTTCTTTGGACTTGCCTAAGGCTTTTGCTATAGCTTCCTTGTCCCAAATTCCAATTCCTCTACTAGTCCTGAAAAAACACATTTTGCTGGCAAAATAATAAGCCGTTTTACTTTTAAGGTCAACAACTTCATGGCAAAGGAAGAACTGTAGCCAGACCAAGCCTCGAGACTAGAAGATTATGGCTGTGTTATTTTGTTTGTGTGCTTTGCTGGACCACATCATTTAGGTCAGCCTTGCTGCAGAGGCAGAGCACTGCAAAGAGTTACAGCACAAAGAAGCAGCAGTAGGAATTTTTCTTTCTTTTTAAGTAATCTGTATGCCCAATGTGGGGCTTAAGCTCACCACCCCGAGATCAAGAGTTGCATGCTCTACCAGCTGAGGCAGCCAGGCGCCCCTGGAACTTTTCTTGCAAAATCATAGCTACTGCACGGTGCTTATGAGGAAAATTCAGAATCAAGTATTTCTGCCATTTTAAGGAATTCCTATAGAAACCCTTACTACACCCTTTCATCAATTCTACAGCATTGATTCTGCTCAGATGGTTTGCTTTCAGGGTACAGAAAACTCAGATTCCTATGCCATTATTTGTGCAGTCTTAAGTATAAACAAAATGGATGTAATGACTTTAAAGCTAACTCCTTGTAACTTTTCCTCCTTAGTCCTAGTTCTGTTCTCTGAAGCTTTGAAAAAATGGTCTGACCTTCTTTCACAGACCAACCTTCCCAGTTGTGGAGATACATACTGTGTTCCCATGGGTCTCTGCCTCTCCAGGGTCATCTTACCCAGAACTCCTCAACTTTCCCTCATTTACATTTAATCATCTTACTTTTTGTCCCTCTTTCATGTAAGTTTGTCAATGCTCCTCATGAAAAGTGGCCCCCAGATGGGTCCCCAGAGTCCTCTCAGCCAAGAGGGAAAAAGATATTCTTTGCTCAAATTTGGGGGAGGGTGCCAAATGACTTAAATTCAAAGATAAAACTTTAAAAGAAGAGAAAAAAAGATGTCAACGGAGCAATTAAGAGGTTATGCACATTTATCTTGGCCAGGACCACTAACCACGCCTCTGAGATTTGCGCAGTGCGCCCTTGGGCCAAGAAAAAATTTAATTAATTTAAAGATTATAGTACAGTGAATTACTCTGGTAATGTTGCATTCTGCTTTTTCGATTGCTCACCTCAACCAGCCACCATCCCCTCGTCCCACTCTCCAGTTGCACTTAAAGTCTCCCATTTTCCAACTGGAACAGAGTAAGACACAAACGAAAAGCCAACTCGGTGGGAGGACAGCTGCGCGCGGACACTTCCGGGGTTGAGCGGCGGAGGGAGACGCCTCCGCCAGAGAAGGAGGAGTTAGGGGCGGAGCCGCGTCTGCGTGCCATCTGAGAGCGCGGCGGAGTTTGCGCATGCTCACACGAAGCAGGCGCTAGCTCCGCTTCCGGTGGGGGTTCGCTCGTGCAGTTCACTAGCAGCAGCCGGCTGCGCTTATTGCTGCGGGGTAGAGTCGACTTCAGGCGGGTAAGTGTCGCCTCTTTTGTCCATCAATCATGGCAAGCATTCAAAGTAGAACCTGAAGGGCTGTGCTAGGACTAACCCATGTTCTGCTGCTACTTTCTCCTGATGTTCTGAAACCTTTATTTCTGAGCACAAGGCGAAAGGGGCGGAGAAGCTGTGGGTACCGTGGCAACTGCATGGCAACAACTTAGTTATTTAGAATTTGGAGAAATTGGGAGAGCTGCTTCTGTAAGGGCTCGTTAAAGTACGTGTGCGTCGGATGCAAATTTCGATGTTATGTCAGTCCCAGGCGCCTAAACCACAGAATTTTATTTTAAAAGATGTACTCTGGCTGTAATGTTGGAGTAGCAGGATTTGAGGTGGGGTAACTAGTTGGAAAGCTAATTCAGTGATCAGGACACAGTCTGAAGATGTCCTGTCCTGAACTGGGGTAGTGGTGTAGGATTGCGGACAAGAGGGAAAATTGGAGAAATTCCAGCCGTTAGTATCAGCTGGACCAAAGAATCGATTGGATGTGGGGAATGAGGGACAGGAGCCCTGAGCATCTTGAGGATTAAGTCCATTCTTCGCTTGGCATATGGCCGTCTTTCTAGATTCGTTTCCCTCCATCAGTTCAGTCTTCTGACCCCGTCCTCCACGCAGACCCAAGACTCTGTGCCAAGTAGTTTGATGCTCTAGTTCTAGAGTATTGTCCTCACCTTTTTATGATGTTGGGTCAGTTTATATAATTTCATTACGCCCCTCAGTTTTTTTTCCAACATGAAAATGGAATAAAATAATAGTCCTCTCAGGATTTTTATAAGGATTAAGGGAGATAGTTTATATGCTTGGTATATAGAGAAGGATCAATATATGGTAATTACTAATACTGTTATGTATTTGCATCGTTTTATTATTATGTGTCATTTTGCTATATCTTCCTCTAGACTTGAGTTGGGTGTTTTTTGTTTTTGTGGGTTTTTTTTTTTTTGAAATTAGGAGCAGTATCTTATCTATCTTTGTATGTTCTTGTAATATAGTAGTAAAGATTAAAAAAAATTTTTTTGAATGGATCATTTATTTGGGCTGTTGTTGACATAATTAAATTTATTTCTTACTTTATAGGAGCTACCTGAGGGGTGCCAGGGTGGCTCAGTCGGCTGAGTGTCCAACTCTTTGATTTCAGCTAAGGCCTTGACCTCAGGGTCGTGAATTCAAGCCCCACATTGGGTGTAGAGCCTGCTCAAAAAATAAATAAGTAAATAAAACGCAGGAGCTACCTGGTAGAATGAATTTTGCTGATCAAATATTATCTATTAGATAAAAAGGTAGCAGTTTTTTTAATATAACTAAGAAGGCCGGGAAATGAGATGTACAGATGGTAACTGATATTCTCAGTTTGGAACAGGTATGAGTGATTTCAGTGAAGAATTGATAAGGTCCAAGACAGAGGATGACCAGGAGGAATCATGTGTATTGTCTGGTACAGGAATGTATTTTCCTTGGCTCCAAAAGCATATAGACACTGTGGGTAAGTAAAATAACATCTAGCCATTTTAACTTTAATGCAAGGAGATGGTAAGATTCAGTATGGACACAAAATTAATAAGTAAGTTCAGTTGCAAGATGTGCCTCTATTCGGGTTTTGAGGCCGTAAGCAAAATGATCATTTAAAACAGAGATCCCTTTCCTACTTTTCCTTTGAACTAATAACATAACAGATAATCTGTATTATGGTAGATTCCTTCCCCCCCCCCCCCCCCCCAGTAATGCTTATTAGTCACTTAGAAGCCTGGCATTGGCTAAATATTGGGATACATAGATGAATAATATATGGTCACTGGCAGTGAGGAGTACATATGTAGGAAGTGTTTTTAAGAAATTTCTGTTGTTTTGCATTGAAATTATTCCTAATATAATTGATCTATAATAGGTTCCAAAAAAAGAACTTTTTTCTTATAAATATAAGCAAATGTTTCTGTGGAGTATATTCCCTGTAAGAATATATAAAAGAACCAGGTATGTGTATATTATTGACCTGTTGGATGGTATACTTCTGGGAATATATCAGAACTGGCACTTAGTACCCTCAAAACATCTCTCGTAGACTAGCCATCTTTCCCCTTGACTGAGATTCTTTGGCTCCTAGAATTTGCTCCCGTTTCTTTATCTTTTAGTTTTAATATTATCTCATTTAGTTATCTCAGTAAATTAATCCTCAGTAAATCCATTTGCTGGGCGTTTTAGAGTTGAGGGAAATGAATCTTGAAGAAGTTAAACTCTAGATGTTGGTATCAGGAGTTAAACCAGGTCTATCTGATCTCAAAGCTTATACTTTTGATAACTGAAATATAATTTTATTCATGAGGTATTATATGTAAAGTGCTTAGTGCAGAGCCTCATACATAGTGAATGTTGGAAAAAATAATAGTTTCTTTCCTCTCTTCTCATTTTAATTTTGCTAACGACTGTACATGGTTTAAGCTAGCTTTGAATGGTTGGTATTTAAGAGTGAATGCTACTTCCCCACCTGATAGGGAACTAGTAATCTCAAGTTCCTGCTGGTTAAGATATACTTGGGCAAGTTTTTGTCATCAGGGTTCTATAGAGAACTGGAGTCAGTCTGAAAGCAGACAGGTTTAACACCAGAATTTACATGCTTAGAAATGTTTTAGAAGTTATGAACAGCCTGTTAAACCCAAAATACTTTCTGCCTGCAGTGAACAGTAGTTTCAGGTAATATTGACATTGTAGTGATAAATGACCATACTAGGAAAACAAAATTGCCCAGCAATTATTAATTTTTTTATTCTAGTAAATATCTATTGGCGTTTTGAAGGGTATGCCCCTTAGAATAAAAACTTTGAAGGCAGAGGCCAATCTGAATTAAAACTATATGTTACGCGACACCTGGCTGTCTGTTGGTGAAGTGTGCAACTCTTGCTCTCAGGGTTGTAGGTTCGAGCCCCACGCTGGGTGTAGAGATTACTTAAAAATAAAATTTTAGAAAACAAACAAAAAAACAGTGTCGAGTACCCAGAGTAGTACTTGGCACAAAATAGTGCTCAAAAAATGACTGACAAGTTTCCAGATTCTTTCAAGGGCAGTAGAGATAGGCTGATGGTGCTGGTTCTCTATTGTAGCTCATTTCATGTCAAAATTTCTTTTCCTAGGCAGTTATTTTTGAAAGTGTATCAGCAACAAATAGGATGATCTTTTGCTCGTAAAAGAATGAAATGAGAGGTATTCCTGAGGCAACTAGGCTGAATTGCAAGACAGAAGGGGAATTTTCCAAGAATTTAAGGACAGTAGTCTAAAGTCCCGACTGCCAGGCTGAGTAGTGAAAAGTTGAGAGGTTGGCCTGAGGTCAGTCGTCCTTTAGGTAAATAAATGAGGTTTTAGGGAAGAGGTATTTTGTCAGTTTCCCGGACCAGCTGCTGCTTGGATCTTGCTAAATGCAGCTTCTTATTCAGAGAGCTGGGTGGGGCATTCTGTTAAGTTCCCTGGTGATGCTAAGGCTTTTGTTTCCAGAACCACACTGAATAGCAAGCAGTAGGATCTCCACGAGATTTGTAAGTATTTTTAAAAAGTTTGAGAGGGGGCGCCTGGGTGGCGCAGTCGGTTAAGCGTCCGACTTCAGCCAGGTCATGATCTCGCGGTCCGTGGGTTCGAGCCCCGCGTCGGGCTCTGGGCTGATGGCTCAGAGCCTGGAGCCTGTTTCCGATTCTGTGTCTCCCTCTCTCTCTGCCCCTCCCCCGTTCATGCTCTGTCTCTCTCTGTCCCAAAAATAAATAAACGTTGAAAAAAAAAAAAAATTTAAAAAGTTTGAGAAACCCTAGTGGAGAGCCGTTGTGTTGAAACCTGTTTTGTTTGAGTACCCATTTTTTTTCCTTTCAATTATGTACTGCCTTGCATGGTTTTAAAGTGTCATCTAAAAATTGTGTTTATTGTAAGCTGAATAGTTGCAGAAGATCTAATTTCCAACATATTTTGGCATTTTTTTTTTAATTTTTTTTTTCAATGTTTATTTTTTTTTGGGACAGAGAGAGACAGAGCATGAACGGGGGAGGGGCAGAGAGAGAGGGAGACACAGAATTGGAAACAGGCTCCAGGCTCGGAGCCATCAGCCCAGAGCCTGAAATTTTGGCATTTTTAAATGAAATTAAGTTTATTACTTTTACAAATATATCCAGTGGAATCTAAGCAGCATAGGAATGTGATGCCTTTCACCATCCATTTAAAAATATTTATGAAAAAAAATTTTTTTTAATGTTTATTTTTGAGAAAGCACAAGCTAGGGAGGGGCAGAGAGAGGGGGACAGAGGATCCCCTCTGGGCTGTGCACTGACAGCAGCAAGCCTGACGTGGGGTTTGAACTCAGGAACTGTGAGATCATGGCCTGAGCCAAAGTCAGACACTCCACCAACTGAGTGCCTCCACCCTGGCACCCTGAAAAAGATTTTAATTGATGAAGATTTTATACTGTTTGTTTTCCTTTCATACTTTTGTTTTTACAATAAAACTGTGTATCTACATTTAATTATTTTTTGTTAATATCCTATAGGACTTTAGGTACTAAGATTTTGTCTGGAGTGAGACATCATAATTAATGGTTTTACAAAACTGATGCTAACAACATAAGTATTAAAAGTTGTGTTAAAATTTAGGGGCATCTGGATGGCTCAGTTGGTTAAGCGTCCCTATTTCGGCTCAGGTCATGATCTCACGGTTCATAGGTTCGAGCCCCGCATTGGGTTCTGTGCTGACAGCTCAGAGCCTGGAGTCTGCTTCAGATTCTGTGTCTTCCTTTCTCTCTGCTCCTCCCCTGCTCATGCGCTGTCTCTGTCTCTGTCTCTCTCAAAACTACGTAAACATTAAAAAAAAAACTTAAAAAGTTGTGTTAAAATGTAATTAAAAGTGGGGCGCCTGGGTGGCGCAGTCGGTTAAGCGTCCGACTTCAGCCAGGTCACGATCTCGCGGTCTGTGAGTTCGAGCCCCGCGTCAGGCTCTGGGCTGATGGCTCAGAGCCTGGAGCCTGTTTCCGATTCTGTGCCTCCCTCTCTCTCTGCCCCTCCCCCGTTCATGCTCTGTCTCTCTCTGTCCCAAAAATAAAAATAAACGTTGAAAAAATAAAATGTAATTAAAAGTAAATTTTTATGACTTCTTTATTTCAATAAGATAAATAAGGTTATCACTTTTTTCCGGTGATTTGATATATCCGTGAAGGAGTAGCATGTATTTCTGGAATGAGAAAAGATTTGGCTTCAGTTCTATTTTGTTTTCATTGATGTAATTCTGAGAAACCTTAGTTGCATGAGTAAGTAGATGGCGTTGGATAGAGTGTAATTGTAACAATGTATCAGGTCTTTGAATTCTTGAATTACTCATGACAAAATTGCGTAGTGATCTGTTGTAAAGAATTCTTAAGTCCTTCCACGCTTTTGATAAGCAAAGACTTGGAAATCACCTGACTTGCCAAAGGGTTTGTTAGAGTCAGTCACTGTCACAATAGTTACACCTACATTTTCACCCTCAGGTAATATATATTGATTTTGATTGTGAAGCCTTGACTGTAGCATGGTTCTCTAGGAGATTAATTTTAGGCACGAGTGAGTATGTGAGGAAGTTGAAGATCTGCAAGTCAATTGCTCTGAAACTGTCTTTGCACAGTACCTGTAAGTCTCTCTGTATTCCCAGGGGTCAGGGTACCCCGCGGGAGGACCACTGACCTAGCGGGGTCCTGTGGTAGTGTGGGAAGGAAAGAGGAGGTGTCAGTATGGCACCTGTTACTCCTAAAACGGGGTTGTGGGGTGCCTGGGTGGCTCAGTCGATTAAGCTCTGACTTCAGCTCAGGTAGTGATCTCACGGTTTGTGGGTTTGCACGTCTCATTGGGTTCTATGCTGACGGCTTGGAGCCTGGAGCCTGCTTGGGATTCTGTGTCTCTCTCTGTCTGCCTCTGCCCCACTCACACGTGCGTGTGCTAGCTCGCTCTCTCCCTCTCTCTCCCTCTCCAAAATAAACATTAAAACACAGTTGTAACTAAGCCCAGATGTTCTTAAGGTGAGGATTGTTGATCCTTTAGAGATATAAACGCTAATGTCTTCAGCTGTTAAATCTCATTTGTGTTTAATGTCATTGAGTTACTGGAACTCGGTCCTTGAATAATGAAAGCCCACCTCTGAGAGTTTTCAGAATACTGGTAGTTAATACAGGACATGCTTGTCTAGGATAACCCTAATGATTTTTACCCATTCTAAATACTTGGGACTTGCTTTTGGGGCCCAAATTGTTTGGTGCAAAATGAAAGGATGATTGGATCTGATCTGGAAGCTCTGGTACCCCGGTAGCCCATGAACATCAAGTCAGGTTTTTCTTTTCCATATGCTGAGACTAGTAAAAATAGCGTGCGAGAGTTTGTTTCAAGGGAAGCTAGCTTTGATATTAGGGCCGGGCTGGGTTGAGTAATGATTACTGTCCTGCTTGTTAAAATTTCTGCTTATCAGAAAGGACTTTTTTAAAACTTGAATTGGGATCACTGTGGGTAAAGACTTCTTTTTTTATCTGTAGAAACTGGAGGAAAAAAGGAGAAGGATTTTGCTCAGACAACCAGTGCTTGTTTGAATCGTATCCAAGAAGCTTTGCTGAAGCACCAGTGGCCACAAGCTGCAGGGTACATGCACAGTTACTTCCAGATCCTGGAAGATTCAGACAGCCACAAGAGGCAGGCTGCACCCGAGGTAAGTGAAGTGTGAGCCTGTGGGAGGAGATTACAGCTACCCGAGAGAGTTTCTGCCCCTTGAGCGCCACCCAGAATAGCTTTTGCAAGGATCGCAAATTGATTTTTCTAAAAGCTACTGAAAGTGGTTTTGGGTGGAGAATTTATACTGGGACATTTTTTCTTGCACATCTTTTTACTTGTTAGGATTTTATTTTATCTTTTAAGTTTATTTATTTATTTTGAGAGAGAGAGAGAGAGGGAGGGAGGGGGAGAGAGAGAGAGAGAGAGAGAGAGAGAGAGAGAGAGAGGAGGGGCAGAGAGAGAATCCCAAGCAGGCTCCGCACTGTCAGTGCAAAGCCCAACTCGGGTCAAACTCACGAACCGTGAGATCATGACCCGAGCCGAAGTCGGACGCTTAACCTACTGAGCCACCCAGGAAGGGCTACTTATTAGGATTTTGAAGGAAACTAAAAATATTTTGAACTCTGAATTCTCAGATTCCCCACTATTCATTCCTTCCTTCTAGTAATTCTCCCTCCTTTCCATGTGTTGTTATTTTTCCCTCTCCATAGGATGTTTCCTATCATCATACCAACGTGTAGTTTCTTGCGTCTTAAAATCATCTCTTGACCCCTATTTTCTCCACAGATGTGTGCCATTTTTCCACTTCCGCTTTCAGCCAAACTCCTTGAAAGGTTGTGCATACTTGTTCTCTCCAAACCTTCTCCAGTTAGGCCCCTCTGCCCACCAGCATCACTGTTTCTACCAAGTTGCTTTGTCAGGGTCAGCAGTGATCTCCAGGTTGCTAAATCTGGTGCCCAGTTCTCAGCGCTCGAGTAACTTGACCTGTCAGCAGTATTGAAGACAGTAGATCGCTGCCTCCTGTGTTGTGATAAGCTTTCTTCATCTGGCTTCCAGGACACTGTTTCTCACTTTTCTCTCTTGCCTCACTGGCCTTCCTCAGCCTCCTGTGATTGCTCGTCTGCTCCCTGGCCTTTTGACTTGGGAGTTCCCCAGAACTCAGTCCTTAGTCCTCTTCTCAGATGGCCTTAAATCTGGTCTGTGTGCCGGACGATTCCCAGTTGTGTATCTGCGGCCCTGACATCTCTCCAAGCCCACATTCCTCTGTCCGGCTGTCTGTTCCGCATCAGCGCTCGGGTGTCTAACAGTCGTATCACACCGGCGTACCTAAAGTGGACCTTCTGGTCTTCACCATCAAACCTAATTTTCCTCATCTCAGATGATGGTTTTTTAAGTATCTAATCGCTGGGGCCCGACTCTGAAGTTCCCTTTCTTTCATACCCCATATCCTATTGGCTCTCCTTCAGAATTCGGTCTGAATTACTTCTCGCCAGCTGCGTGACTGCACGTCAACCCAAACCACTGTCGTCTCCCGTAGATGACTGCTTGCCCTCCGGCACCCCCTTGTCTCTTTCCAGCATAGCGAGCGACCAGGGTTATCCTTTTTAAAAAATAGTCTTATAAATAAACCACCATACAGTTCCCACATTTAAATGGTACAATTCAATGTTTTTTCATATATTTGCAGAGATATGCAGCCATTACCACAATCTAAATTTTGAACGTTTTCCTCCCCACCCCCCCCCCAAAAGAATACACTCGCAGTCACTCTCTGCCCCGTCCCTCCTTCCCCCACTCCCCAGCCCCTGGCAACCACTCATTTACTTTCCGTTTCCGGACATTTCAGAGAAGTGGGTTTTATGATACAAGGTCTTTGTGCATGACTTCTTTCACTGGATGTGTTTTCACATTTATTCTTGTTGCAGTTTTTTTTTTTTAATTTTTTTTTTTTTTTTCAACGTTTATTTATTTTTGGGACAGAGAGAGACAGAGCATGAACGGGGGAGGGGCAGAGAGAGAGGGAGACACAGAATCGGAAACAGGCTCCAGGCTCCGAGCCATCAGCCCAGAGCCTGACGCGGGGCTCGAACTCACGGACCGCAAGATCATGACCTGGCTGAAGTCGGACGCTTAACCGACTGCGCCACCCAGGCGCTCCTAGTTGCAGTTTTTATTAGTACTTCTTTCCTTTGTATTAGAAGGTGACATTCCATCCTGTTCTGTGTGTGCCTTCGTCTGTTGTTAGACATGGGCGTTATTTGCACTTTTTAGTTATTATGAGTAACGCTGCTATGAACATTCACGTTTTTGTTAGGGATGTTTGTGGAAATCTCTCTTGGGTATGTACCAAGGAACAGAGTGCTGGGTCATACAGTAACTGTGTTTGGCCTCTTGAGGAACTACCAGACTGTTTTCCAAAGTACCTGCACCATTTTACGTCACCACCAGTAATCTATGAGGTTCCAATTTCTCTGCATCCTTGCCAGGTTTTGTTATTGTCTGTCTTTCTGATTGTAGCTGCCTTAGTGGTTGTGAGGTGGTAGCCTGTTGTGGTTTTGATTTGTATTTCCCTAGTGACTTAATGATGCAGCATGATCTTTTTAATTTTTTTTTTTTTAATGTTTATTTTTGAGAGAGAGAGAGAGTGAGTGAGTGAGTGAGTGGGAGGGAGAGGAGCAGAGAGTGACAGAGACACAGAATCTGAAGCAGGCTCCAGGCTCTGAGCTGTCAGCACAGAGCCCGACGCGGGGCTCGAATCCACGAACTGCAAGATCATGACCTGAGCTAAAGTCAGACACTTAACCGACTGAGGCACCCAGGCGTCCCTGCAGCATGATCCTTTTAAAACACAGGATCGATCATGTCACTTCTCTGCTAAACTCTGTAATGGCTTCCCATTTCACTCAGTAAAAGCCAAAGTCCTAATGATTGCCTGCAAGTTCTGTATGATCTGCTCATTCCCTTTCCCCCTAGACCTTTCTGATCTCATTTCCTATTGCTCAAATACTGTTTTTTTTTCTTCTTCCAGCGTCCCTAATCTCCTGGTTCTTGCTTGAACAGACCATGTGCACTTTTGCCTGATTGCCTTTGCTGTACCTATTCCTTTTACTTGAAAAGGTCCTTCTTCAGATCTCACTATAGCCATCTGTCAAGTCTCATTTTCAGTGAGTCCTACCGTGACTGTTTAAAATGCACCTCCATACCGCCCCCTCCACTTTCCAGCTGTCACTCCTGACCCCCTTAGTGTGCTCCATTCTTCTCCCACCATACTTGCCGATTTAATTCTGTTTCTGGGTTATTGTCTGTCTCTCTACAATCGAATGTAAATTTCCTGAGCAGAGGGATCTAGAACAGGGCCTGGCATATACTTTTAAATTTGTTCAGTAAAATATAGTTTATCCATAAATAACTTCACATGAAGCTCTCAAATAGCTCTTGCTAATATAGTAACCATCGCATCGGGTAGGTATTTAATAAAGCCCAAAAAAAATCTGAGAGAAAAAAACCTATTGGTTGAAAATTTAGTTTATGGACAAAGCTATGTTCATCTATAAAACATTGGACAAGTTATAGGTTCTTTTTGTCCAGAATTTGTATTATAAAATGAAGGATTTGAATCAGTGGTTTCCAGACACTTGTCTGCTGCTTTTTGAATTATCTAGGGCTTTTGTTGAAAATACAGATTCCTGTGCTCTACCCTGTACTGATCAGACTCTGAATCCCTAGAATATTTATTTATTTTATTTTTTTTTTTTTTAATTTTTTTTTTTCAACGTTTTTTATTTATTTTTGGGACAGAGAGAAACAGAGCATGAACGGGGGAGGGGCAGAGAGAGAGGGAGACACAGCATCGGAAACAGGCTCCAGGCTCCGAGCCATCAGCCCAGAGCCTGACGCAGGGCTCGAACTCACGGACCGCGAGATCGTGACCTGGCTGAAGTCGGACGCTTAACCGACTGCGCCACCCAGGCGCCCCGAATATTTATTTTTAAAAGGTGTCCCAGGTAATTCTTATATACAACTGGGTCTAAGAACAACTGTTACAGTCTACAAATTTTCTATAAGCTCCAAAATACTACAATTTGGTTTTTCTACAAAGGAAATCTTGATTTCTCTTTCTGAGTTGGAAAAGTGAGTATTAGGATTATACCAAACAACCAATATGTATATTCACAGAACTGATTTAAAATTCTCTTAAATTTATTTTAAGATCAGTAATGAAAGAGGGGTGCCTGGGTGGCTCAGTTGGTTAACTATCTGGCTTCGGCTCAGGTCATGATCTCATGGTTGGTGAGTTCAAGCCCCGCATCGGGCTCTGTGCTGACAGCTCAGAGCCTGGAGCCTGCTTTGGATTCTGTGTCTCTGTCTCTCTCTGCCCCTACTTCCTCCATACACTTTCTCTCTCTCTCTCTCTCTCTCTCAAAAACAAACATTAAAAAAATTTTTTTTTTAATCAGTAATGAAATATTTTCATTGGGTAAGAGAAAGAGAGATTTACTCCAAGAAGCGCTCCAGGTTCTGTTACCAAAGTTTTGGTGCTCTGGGGAGAAAATAATACTTCATTAAAATTTGACTGTAGCTGATGAAAAATTTTAAGTTGGAGTTCTAAATATAGATTAAATGTAGTCAGTAGTTGTAGAGCTTTATAGATCTCAGGAAACATCTAGTTCATTGCCCTCATATTGCAGATGAGACCAAGAATGGTGAAAAGGCCAGGGTTAACAGAAACTAAGTATTCTGACTTTAACATTCTTGCCCCTATGCCAGTTAGAAATTCTGTTTTCAATATGCATCTGAGCTGCGTACCTTCTTTAGACTACTAACTTTAAAATGGCACTATTACAGCCATCTGGTATTTTTATTTAATGGATGGAAAAATTTTATTGCATGAGATATAATTAGTTTACTGGGTGAAATGAAGTATAGTAAAATGTTGATAGTAGTATCTAGGAAAACGAATTATGGGTTGTAAGCAGAAAAAAAGATAGGGTCCTTAGGCAGAAATTGGTTAAGGGAAGGATTTTACATTTTTATTAGTAATTTCTGTTTTGACAGATTATTTGGAAGCTCGGAAGTGAAATTCTATTTTATCATCCCAAAAGCAACATGGAGACTTTCAATACCTTTGCTGACAGGATGAAAAACATGGGTGTCATGAATTACTTAAAGGTGAGAGAATGCAGGCTTTGTGAATTGACATTGACAGTGCTCATTCTTAAAAAAATCTTCTCAGCGATGAGGTAGGTAATGATGTAAAAGGCATGGAAAAAGGGTAAGAGGATAAATACAAGAGCCTGAAAGGAAGTAGTATTGTGAAAACCATTTATTCCTCCATTTCCTGCTGCCTGCCTTGTTCTCTGAGGCAAAATACCTTGTCTTTGTTTATCTCCGGCTGCCAGGACCAGTCCTTAAGAGATGGCACTTATGCCTTATTGTGACGTTGGACCAAATTCTAACCTCTTTGCTTAATTCATTTGGGTTCTCTAGGAATTCATGCTCTTAGAAAAAGGAAGCAGCTAAAACAAATTGGGAACTTGAATATGTGAAAGTGGCTTTTTCCCCCCCAGCTTTATTGAGGTATAATCGACCTATAACATTGGGTGAGTCTAAGGCATACGGTGTGATAATTCGGTACACGTGTATATTGGGAAATGTTTACCGCGTAAGGTTAGTTAACGCATCCTTCCCCTCACACTGCCACCTTGTTGTTGTTGCTGTGGTGAGACCATTAAAGTGCTACTCCCATAGCAACTTTCAAGTATACAATCCAGTGTGATTAATTATAGTTACCATACTCTACATTAGGTCCCTGGAACTTACTCATCTTACAACGCCAAGTTTGTACCCTTTGACCTACATCTTTCATTTCCTCCACCCCCTCGACCACCATTCTACTCCCTGTTTCTGTGAGTGCAGTGTTTTTAGATTCCACATGTAGATGGTGAGATCATACAATATTTGTCTTTCTCTGACTGACTTCACTTAGCGTAATGCCCTCAGGGTCCATCCACATTAGCCAAAATGACAGGATTTCCTTTTTTATTATCAAGTAATATTCCATTGTGTATAAGTGTGTGTAGATACATACGACATTTTCTTTATGCGTTCATCCATTAGATGGGCACTTGGGTTGTTTTCATGTCTTGGCTATTGTGAATAATGTTGCAATGAATATGGAAGTACAGATATCTCTTTAAGATAGTGATTTCATTTCCTTTGGATATGTACCCAGAAGTAGGATTGCTGAATGATATGTAGTTCTACTTTTAGTGTTCTGAAAAGCCTGCACACTGTTTTCTGTAGTGGCTGTATTAATTTATATTCTCACCAACTGTGTGTGAGGGTTCCATTTTCTCCACATCTTAGCTGGCATTTGTTATCTCCTGTTTTGATAATAGCCATTCTGATAGATGTGAGATGATAATCTCATTCTGGTTTCGATTTGCATTTCCCTAATGGCTAGTGATGGTGAACACCTTTTTATGTGCTTGTTGGCCAATAATATGTCTTTGGAGAAATGTCCGTTCAAGTTCTCTGCTCATTCTTTTTTTTTTTTTTTAATTTAT